CGCAGCAATTCTGCGAGACTTCCTCAATGTTTGAACTTAACAACGTCAAAACGTCAAAAACAAAGCAATTCTGCGAGACTTCCTTCAAAAATGGAAAGTTGAGTGCAGAGCTGACGGCCTCGTGCCAATGCGTTTTCCGATTTTTCCACTCCACCCGTCTAAAGTACTGCGCCTGCCACGAAAAATTGATGCCAAGTCAAACGAAGTACTGCACCTGTCACGCAAAATCATCTCAGCAAACCTGAAGATCTGATGCTCCAAAATGGAACCCCTCTCAGGAAATCAGCGCCCTGACCTCCGAACAGCTCTGATGAACATGTTTCTTGCACTGCGCCTGCCACGCGAAAGACATCTTGCCAGATCCTCTTCAAATGACCCACGCTTGCCATCGTTTTTGGAAATGCTACAAAGCCCTCACGTTGATTTTTGACAACGTGCACAATCCCTTGCGCCTGCCACGCAAAATGACATCTGAACGTCCAAAAATGCTCCGAACCCTTCAGTTTTTTACACTTTTGACTTCAATTGTGCTTCGCGCCACAACGGCGTGCACTTTTTCGACATCACAACTCACAACTTCCGAAAGTGGTCCGAGCATGGTGTGTTTTGTGCATTTTGACTTCGAAATGTGCTTCGCCCCACACCGGCGCGCACTTTTTCGACAGCGTAACTTCTAAAAGTGATCTGAAGCTGAGGTGTTTTGTGCATTTTGGCTTCGAAACGTGCTTCGCGCCACAATGGCGTGCACTTTTTCGACATCACAACTTCCAAAAGTGGTCCGATGTTGGTGTGTTTTGTACGTTTTGACTTGGAAAAGTGCTTCGCGCCACAACGGCGTGCAACTTTTCATCTCTCATCTGACCACATGGCTCCGCACCCGCCGCTTTAGCGAGCCTACTTTTCGACCCTCCGGAGCCATAAATCATCATAAATCATTGGAAAAACACAGTGAACCGCGACTTTTCTACCTTTTCGCGCGGCTGCATCTTCTGTCTTCTGACTCTTTCTCTTTTCTGCTCTTCTTTCTTCTGCTCTTCTCTTCTCTGACTCTTCCCACCTCTGCTTTTTCATCTGTCCATGTTGTCGGAAGTTTGACTTCTAAACTTCCTTCGATTATATGAATATATATATATTATTGCCTAATGTACCCTAATGTTACCCAAGGTTTTCATATGTTTCCTAGATGTCCAAGGATAATGTTGGCCACTCTCTGCTACCAAGGCATGGAGATCTGAAAAAACGTATGGTCGCAGCGGTGAGGCGAGGGAAGTCGAGGGAAGTCGAGGGAAGTCGAGTCCGTTGAGTCCCGTTGAAGGCATTTGTTTGAACTGCCAGGATCGTTTGCGGCTGGAGATGGTGCGGTCCATACCGGTGCCGTGGCGCATCGGGCAGCCAGCATAGCACTGTGCGCACACTTCAAGAACACGCGCAGCGCATCTGGGAATGCCGACACGTCAAAACAGTTTCCGCAAACATACAGAACATCATTTCATGCTGTCAGCAACTTGTGGCAAAACAGGCGTGATTCTGTTAACATCTACCCTTTTCGTTTGTGATTCTTTGCACGGTACCAGTACAGCAATCTGTTTGACACCCTTTTAATGATTTTAATGCATCATTCGTTTTGCAAAGCGTTTGGCTGAGCACTTCGTACCTGGTGTGTAAGTCCTGGTGTGATTCAGGGACCACCGCAAGATCGCACGCTGGTCCAGTGGAAACGTCCTGCTCAGGTTCTCATGCAACTCTTTCATGAGCTTGATGTTGACAAGAGCGGCAAGGCGACTCACATGGACTCAACTACAGCTCTGTCACTTTGTGTTTGCTTGCTCGTGGAACGTTGCCCTTTTGCGCGCATGTCAGTGACATACTTGAGACTTTCTTTTTTCGTTTTCCTTCAGATTTTTTGGTCATCACGCGGCCCCCGCGTTTGATCCGCTTGTAGCAATGGTCGTGAAGTGTGTGCTCCAGCTGCGGGACCGTGTTTGGAATGATGGCCGCTCATATCCACAGGTGGCCGACTTTCTTTGCCCTTTGACCTCAAACCCCATGCTTGATCCGGTGAAAGCTGAGGATGGACATACCTATGAGCGCAAAGCGATTGAAAAGTGGCTGGAGGAAAACACGGTGTCTCCTCAGACCCGAAAGCCAATGGGGAAAAAGCTGACACCAGACAAAAAGCGGAAAACGGCCATTGAGAACTATGATAAGGCTCACAAGTCAGAAAAAGGTACAGCGGAGGAATCTCGGACTGCAGAAGATGGAGCTGCAATGGAGATTTCCTGGCCCACTGGAGGTCACAAGAGCCCAAACATGGAAGAAACTCGCTATCTCAAGATCCAACCTGCGGCATCAGAGGAGCCCAAGCCAAAGAGAGCACGCGTCGATCCGGAGATCCTGCAGGATGGAGCTGGCTCTTCGTCCATGTCTGAGGTCTTGAGCAAGTGGTTTCGCGAGTTGGATCCTCTGCGTGCACTGCTTCGCGAAGTTCTCGAAGGTTGGGCACCCCCCAGGATTGTGGTCATTGGCAACCAGAGCGCCGGCAAGTCCACAATTCTGGAGCAACTTGCCAACATGCCCATCTTCCCAAGAAAAGACACATTTTGCACTCGCTTACCGACTCATCTACGCCTACGACGTGACCCTGAGACCAGCAAAGCAGAGTTGTCAGTCTACAAGATTCAGCCAGATCGAAGTGAAGTGAAAGAAGGAATGGGGCTTGTTCGGAAACCAGCAAGTTCATTGCAGCAAGTCCCATTTGAGGGAGGTTTGTCTAGGCAAAAGATCAACTGGAGACGACAGATTTTCAGTTTTTAGTTTGCAAATCTTGCAAGTAAAGTGACTTCTGCGCCTTTTGACTTGCTTGATTTCATTGTTGAAAACTGGAAAATGGTAAAAAGGGTGGGTTCTAGGGCAGGTAGGTTGACACGCAGAATTAGAACAAAGAAGAAGCACGTATTTATGCACCATTGGGGAGAAATGATGAAGCAATATATACAAGCCAACAATCATTGAACAGACACATCACATCAACCCACCAAGAACATTTACACCAATGCGTCCTGAAACTTCCCATATGTCAAGTGAAGCTGAAGAAATGCGACCACTGAATGACATTGCTAGTTCTAGCACTCAAGCACCAGTGATGCTTGTAAGGGGTGTTCCAAATTCAACACAAGGTAAGGTATACAAGAGACAAGACCCAGAGAGTGCCATAGAACCATGAGCTAAAGCAGGAAAACCAAAAATAAAATACACTGACACCAGACCAGATGCTGAAAAGCGGGATGGGTCAGAACCAGAAGACACGAGGAAAGGAAAAAGAAGAGACAAAAAAGACCATCAGCAAAGTTTAGAAACAGTCAATGTCAATAATGATGCCGATGATGAAGAAGAATCACAAACCAAACCCAGAGGCAGTGGAGTAAGAAAAACAATTAATTAAGAAACCTACCTTACCAGGTAAAGTGGGAATTCAAAAGATGTATGAAGACTTCACTAATGCTAAACACAAACATAATGGCAGATGATGAGTTTAAAAAGTTTGATGACATATTCCAAGAGTTTAAGAAAGTAAATGGTAAAGAACAATCAAAACACACCAGCAAAGCAAAAAAAACATGTATACTGTATACTGTAAAAGAATGCAATACCGAAGGTTGAAGGTTATGTAAGTTATGTATAACAACTCTGAGAAACAATCAGCATTGGGATGCAGGGAAACAACATTTGAGAAATTTTGGGTTAGACCACGCTGGATTTAAGAACTACGTAGGATCGTAGGTAGTTCTGACGCTGTCCCACTTTGTGTGGTTCGAAGTAAGCTGCAGCAAGGCTGTCTTTTGTAGTACATTCAGTGCTTCAAAAGGACCCCAACATCAGCTGCGTATCAACACTCAACATTTGAGCAGTTCCCGTTCACATCCAGCCATGTTGGAAGTTCCAGCAACAACTCTAGCAAACACAAACAAGAATGCATGCAATACATGGGACTAGAACCAATGGCAAGCCTCAACTGAGCGATGTGCACGCTATGCTATCCAAGAGGAACCTACAGTAGATGGACAAAATAATCAAACCCTACAGATGCCTACCAAATAAAACCCCCGGCCCAAATTTCAATGTTGCGCAAAGCTCTATATAGTATCCTCTGCGTTAGGGTTTGTTATTTTTTGTCCACCGGCCCCAAGCGCGCAGCCCAAAGGCAACATTGAAATTTGGGGATGCGGGGGCGACAACAATACAGCAGGGGTTTGATTTCATTGTCCATCTACGGTAGGATTCAGCAGAAAGTAAACACAATGATCATGATAACTATAACAACAAACACATCAACTACAATACTGCATACAATCAACCAAAAACATCGACAACAATGCAAATTTGCTCCCCCTCTCCTGCTTCGCACTTTGCCTTAGTTTACTCGGCGTTCCTTCGGTTTTTTTTCCTTTGGGTTTTGGGGTTTGGTTTATGATTGAACCCCAGAATCTTGTGTGAGAACAAGGAGTCTCATCAGAGGGGTTCTCATCAGCTTGGAAACAAATTAAAACAAATTATAAATCATTTTGAAACATTAGATTTCATTAGATTAAATTTCAATGATAATCATGTTTCATACCTGTTTTTGGGGCAAACATGATGTGACATATGCTGTGGCCCTGGTAGCCATTGTGGCCCCACCTCGACCTCCCCTTCTCATACATTCTGATGTAACATAGTACTGCACTGTCTTTCTGGCCAATGTAATAAGAGTATCAAAAGATTGACTATGTATTGAAATACACTATTATCAAGTAATTGGTTGTGACGCACTGTACTTGTCTTGTTTAAGCATGTGCTATATTTATTCGCAGCTATATTGTAAGCACTTGGCACTTTTTATTTGTATTTAGATGCAATTCTCCTCAAAAAAATGTTTCAATATATTATAAACTTTTCTGATAAAGTCTGCCAAAAAAAAAGGACATTGCAGCAATACTAAAATTAGTCTACACAGACTAAATCGAATACTAAAATTTGGCGCAGGAGGTGCCAAAATCTGTATTTTTATTTTTTTTATTTTTTTAATTTTTTCTAATTTTTTCTAATTTTTTCTAATTTTTCCTAATGTTTTCCAATTTTTTCTAATTTTTTCTAATTTTTCTAATTTTTCGCATATGTATACTTTTGTTTTTGTAATTTGTTCCGCAACCCTGGAGGGGCTTCCCCTCTTGGTGTGCCAGGATGTGCTCCTGGGGGCAATCACACGTAGAGTGGAGTTTGCTTCGGAGTCAACCACCGTGGAGAAATCACTGGGTCCTGTGCACAATTGTTCACAGTTTGTAAGCACCAACTGGGGTAACTGCAATTGTAATAAAATTGGCCCTTGCCAGCAATCCCTAATATCAGAGCAACCCTCAACCCCAGATGTGATTAAGTGTTAAAACAACTTGTATTTAATATGCATCATCATGACAAAGATTCTATCTTAATAGTTCCATCATCATTTTGGCAGGGTTCAATGTCAAACAAAGTAGAATATAGACTGAAAGAAGCAGAGGTGCAGCAAGCAGGGGTCATTGCAAACAATGTTCTAGTCTGTTTCAGACTTGCCACCTAAGACTAAGTACAGCAGAACCTAGCACAGAAAAAAAAAGTGAGGGGCACGGAGTAATTTGTTTTTATTTGTTTTAATTTGTTTTAATGTTTAATAATTTGTTTCAATTTTTTGATATTTTTTGATATTTCAATCATATTTTTTTATATGATTTATAATTTTTCATTCTGGCCAGCCATGGCTGATGAGATACCCTTTGATGGGGTACCCAAGCCTGACAATTGATCAGAAGCTGAGCGTGGAACTGATCTAATTTCCAATCACGCAACAGGATGGTACGACATGCTTTCGTCAACCGCTCCATGGACATAAAGTTCTTCTCAATCTCTCAGTTTTGCTTGTCATCGCTGCAAAGCCCTGCCAGGAGATACCAAAACCATTCCCCATGAGAACGGCTGGCGTGATGTTCAAGAGTACACAGAAAGTCTTCTGAAGCGCTTTAGCTCGGATGGGCTCGTCACGGACAGGTACCTTGTTGTTGAGATTCGTCACCCGCAAGTTCCAAGCATCGACCTGGTTGACACTCCTGGGGTTGTAGGAGGGAGAAATAGAAAAGCAGCTGCGATCACCAAGATTTTGGAGTGGGAACTGGACTATGATGCACGGAATGGGAAAAATGACATGTTTTTGGCAGTGGTGCCAGGAGATGGCGCCCAGCCATGCCCAGCTTCAAACATGGCACTGGATTTTGTTGAAAGGAATGAATTGCAAGGAAGGACTTTTGGAGTACTTTCAAAGTGCGACGCAAGTGCCAACACAAAGCTCTTGCGTGACTTGGTGCTCAATGATCCCACAACAGGAGATGACGATTTGGGCCAGGTGAATTTGAAAAGCTGGGTGGCCTGCATGTTGAAGCCACCACAGCAGAACTCTGACCGGCTTGAGATTCACAACTTCGAGCGGCTCTTTCAGCAGGCCCAAAACGAGAAAGCATTCTTCAGCGAGAGCGAAGATGAGCACCTAAGGACCTTGGCAAAAGAAAAGCGAGCAGGCATTGCCTGCTTAGTTCAACAATTGGAGGAAGGATACTCGGCCTACTTGCACCAGTCATGGAAAATACCAGCCATGACAAAGATTCTCCAAAAGTTGGAACAGATAGAGAAGGAGTTCAAAGACCTTGGTGTTGTGGATGAGCACGCTCAGGACCTAGCCTATCAGGAGGTGAAGAAACGCCTGAATGCTGACAACGGAGATGTGAAGAACTTGTATGCTGGTTTCAGGACCAAGCACCTCAGTGCTTTGCGCAGCAAGATGGAGACATTCCTCAAGGCCTTCACAAGCCAACCCCATGAGGTGTGCAAGCTGCAAGCATCATTGCGAGAAATTCAAACAATGATGAAAGAGGAATGCGAGAAAGTTGCACGCTCTGTTGTGTCCCACTTTGTAGAGCCTTTGCAGCAGCTTCTTGAGAAAGAAATCCCGCGCATGGTGCGCATCCGTGGAAAGCGCAATCCCATGGCATTGTTCAAGGAGAACTCTGAGATCATGAAGAACAATGATTTCATCCAGCTCAGTCGATACCCTACCTTCACGAAAACCATCGTGGAAAAGTGTCGAGAGTTGTTTCAGAAAGCGAGCAAACAGATGACAGAGGACTCTCATGCACTCATCGATAGCTTCACAAACATGAATTTACCATGGCTGGACACTGCGGCGAATGAGAAAGGGTCTCACGTGAACATCTCATGTGACAGCATGAACAAGTTCCTGAATCGAATGGAAGTTGTGTTCTTGTGCTGTCTACCAAATGATCTTGGTCAGGTGGTTAGTGACGTTCAAATTGGGCCCTCCAGCCCAAAGTCCAAGGAGAAGGCCGATGATTTGAAAGAAGAGCTCCAGAAGATCTGTCGTGCCCGTGATGGACTTCGCAAAGCGCTCTTCAGCGACGAGGAGCTGGAAAAGTTGCCCTTGCCGGCCCCTACCGCCACGGAACCAACGGTGGGGGAGCGCGCGGTCGTGGACGGGAACATCCATCTTCCACAAGGAGTCCCTGTTCCAGTTTAGAGGCTATGGCATGTATAGCTATACAGGACAATTTACATGACCCACCCTTGAAGGTTCCCACAAAACGGAGTCTGAATTGCAGGGCGTGTGGTCCGCAATGTTCCCAGCCTTGACCATCAGAAATCATTGGAATGGAGCGTACTATTCTGCAGAAAGACCACTTGAACACTCCGACTGTACCCGGTCAATACAGAATTTGCATGAATTCATTTTGATTATACATTTTGATACCCGGATAATTTGGTGTTTCAGCGATGGTCAATAATTCACAATGCCAAGATGCTGGCCCAAATAGGAAAGGACAGCGATCGTTCCAACAGCGTGGAAAAACTTGCAGTGAGCAGCTACAGAATATCTTTGCTACTGTGCATTTTGGTCACAACGACCAGCAGAAGTTGGAATGCCTGAAGGTTGGTCTGCTCAGAATATGCAGTTGTTTTTGTTGCCAGATTTCCTTGGATGAAGTGGAGAAGTTTGACAGCATCCTGCCACCACCTGTTGCTTAGTTCACTCAGTTGTAGGCCTTCAGGTTTCAGACCAATCGGCATGAGGAGGACTTTGAAATTCAGCCTTTGCTTTTCAGTTCAGCAGAACGAAGACATTGCTCCGAAGTGTTGTTTGGATGCTGTATGCTTTGTCGCACACTGATTGCCGTGATTGCATCGATGACCGCGCAGGGTATTGAAAGAAAATTTCAGCGCTGACAACATGGCGGACCTCTTTGGAGTTCTCGACGTTGATGGAAGCGTCGCCCTCAGGGAGACGCGCGTTGCATTCCTGCATTGACATGGGCTGCCTTGAAATGTCTTGAACATGTCGTGGATTATTTGTTGTGACCCTGTGGTAATGTGTGGTGGTCATGGAAGTCCAGTCTGCCAGGTGGCGAGCTGGATATGAAGGAGTTTGTTGGTCTCCTTCAACTTTGGCTGATGGATGTAACCTGGCACTGCTCTGTGACAACACCCGTGGGTAGATGGTTTCATTTGTTTGCTTCAGAGAATGGAAGTCACATTGATAATTTCAACCATAAAACGCCATCCGTTCCTCATGGGACTCATAGGATGTCAGAGCTCGATATCACCTTAAATTATTGATGAGTTGAGAGCACCGATGTGTGTGCACTTGAGTACTTTAGTCAGGCATTCCACAGGAGGGAATCAGTTTGCCAGCTGTCAGCACCAGGTTTTGAGGTGCCCATCACAACTCTTCAAATCCTGTGCCTTGGATGTGCGCAGAACTGGACCTGCTGGACTTTTCAGTTCTGATGTTTTGGTACACCTATGCCGTTAAGCCTGAAGAAAAGATCAAAGACTATCACACTATATATGTTCTTTTTTGGGTGTGAGTGACTGTCAACATTCCTGACATTTCCTGACTTGTCAGAGCTTGATAAATTCAGATGAATTCAGATTCATGGAATCAGAGCGGGTTGTGCACGCAGCTGTCGTTCTTTGCGGCATGAAGGGAACATGTCGTGCAGGTGATGGTTTGTGAGAATTCCATGCACGGGCTTCATGGAAGTGTGACCCTCTGTTGCAATCATGACGTTGACTCTCGGTGGAAGCCACAAATCAATTTCTCTTCGAAATTGCTCATGGAAACAACTCATGACTCACGACAAGATATGTCCAGATATGACAAGGTGCAAGCGGCGGGAAATGAAGATGTTTTTGCAACCAGGCGCCCTGAATGCACACGCTTTGCTCTCTGGCTCAACACTCCCAGCCGCACGCAGTTGGCCCAGAAATCTTGAGCTGCGCAGACAGCTCTTGGCCAGTGGGGCTGATCTCAGAGAAAAGACAGAGTTGCAGAGTTGACACATGACACCGAAACAAGATGAAACATGAAACAAGATTCAGAATGGAAGATGTCGAGATGTCGAGCATTAGCACCGTAGACGCAGTAGACCGTGTAGACCGTGTAGACCGTGTAGACGGTGGCGAAAGTCTCAGGCGCACCGAAGCTGCGATGCTGCTGTGGTTGCCGCAGAGTTGCCAATGGCACCTGGTCGAGCTGCGAAGGAGTCGGTGCGTGGTTTCCGCCGCAGATCGAAACTAGATCGAATTGGTGTTGAACTGTGTTGAACTGGTTGAGCAAGAGATTCATCTTAACACCACAAGCGTCCTGTCTTGCACCTTTCAGAACTTTCAGAGCCCTGAGCCAAGTCAAACTCGTGCTGCCGACCGTCATCATGTGGTCATAGTGGTCATATAGTGGGAACCCAGAATATAGCTTTGTTATATAATCATAATATTATAATCACTATCATATGCAATGATGTTCTTCTTGCAGGGCAACACGGCCTGGAGGAAGCCGTCAGAACTGTGCCGCCTGCGCGTTCAAGAGTTGGTGATGGACTATCGTGCCACCCGGCTCTTGAGAAGCACAGCGTTGACATGTGGATGTCGTGTGTCTGATGTTTGTGCGTCGGCATGTTAGCAACATCTTTGATGTTCATTGATGTTCAACATCCAACAGACTTGGGGGGCTCAATTGCTATCAGCTGTTTAGCTGTCTCGAGCTGCATTCAATGAGGCTCGTGTGGAGGCCATGAGGAGCAATGTAAGGCTCCATCAGTGAAATTCTTCAGTCAATACACTTACTACGTTTTCTTCACTCATCAGAATCACGAGAAAAATAACTGCTTGTAGCTCTTGGTCAGATGTGTCATTCTGAGCAGGATTATCATAGCTCATCAGAGAGTATTTGTGTAGCCAGGAACGTTTCCAGGCAAGCCTTTTTACGAAGTATATAGTGCTTCACAGTTCATTGTGCGCTACTTGTGCTAATTCTTTTTGATATCAACACTTCCAAGAGTATTCATTTGATCACTTGAGTCATGATGAACACACGAAAGCGTGACCGAAAAACACTTAAAGCAACATTTGAACTAACTTGATTTAAGTTGAATCAGCTTGAATTAACCTGAATTAACTTGAAATAACTTGAACTAACTTGAACCAACTTGAATCAACTTAAACTAACTTGAGTCAACTTGAATTAACTTGAATCAACTTGAATCAACTTGAATTAACGTGAATCAACTTGAATTAACTTTAATCAACTTGAATTAGCTTGAATAAACTTGAATTAACTTGAATCAACTTGAACTAACTGGAACTAACTTGAATTAACTTGAGCTAACTTGAATCAACTTGAACCAACTTGAATCAACTTGAATTAACTTGAATAAACTTGAACTAACTTGAATAAACTTGAACTAACTTGAACTAACTTGAATTAACTTGAATCAACTTGAATTAACTTGAATCAACTTGAATTAACTTGAACTAACTTGAATTAACTTGAATTAACTTTAACCAACTTGAATCAACTTAAACTAACTTGAGTCAACTTGAATTAACTTGATTTAACTTGAATCAACCTGAATTAACTTGAACTAACTTGAGTCAACTTGAACCAACTTGAATCAACTTAAACTAACTTGAGCCAACTTGAATCAACTTGAACTAACTTGAATCAACTTGAATCAGCTTGAATCACTTGAACTAACTTGAATTAACTTGAACTAACTTGAACTAACTTGAATCAACTTGAATTATCTTGAACTAACTTGAATTAATTTGCATTGACTTGAACCAACTTGAATCAACTTGAATCAACTTGAATTAACTTAAACTAACTTGAATTAACTTGAATTAACTTGAACTAACTTGAATCAACTTGAATTAACTTGAACTAACTTGAATTAACTTGAACTAACTTGAATCAACTTGAATTAACTTGAACTAACTTGAATTGACTTGAAGTAATTTGAATCAACTTGAATCACTTGAACTAACTTGAATTAACTTGAACTAACTTGAATTAACTTGAAGTAATTTGAATCAACTTGAATCACTTGAACTAACTTGAATTAACTTGAACTAACTTGAATTAACTTGAAGTAATTTGAATCAACTTGAATCACTTGAACTATCTTGAATTAACTTGAACTAACTTGAATCACTTGAACTAACTTGAATTAACTTGAAGTAATTTGAATCAACTTGAATCACTTGAACTATCTTGAATTACCTTGAACTAACTTGAACTATTTTGAATTAACTTGAATTAACTTGAAGTAACTTGAATCAACTTGAAGTAACTTGAATCAACTTGAACTAACTTGAACTAACTTGAATTAACTTGAAGTAATTTGAATCAACTTGAATCACTGGAACTATCTTGAATTGACTTGAACTAACTTGAACTAACTTGAATTAACTTGAATTAATTTGAAGTAACTTGAATCAACTTGAATCATGCCCCATTCTGTAACTTGAATCGACACACCTGTGTTGTCCTCTTTGTCCGTGTCGTACTCTTCGCGGCGCCTGGGAACCCCGCTTCGCCGCTTCGCTGCTTCGCCAGGCATCACGGGAGGACATCCGAGGCGCCTTTAACGCAGCGTGGTCATGCGTGGTTTTTGACGAAAAAAACGCGACGAGTGAAGCTACAGTGGCAGCTACAGTAAGTCCGAATCCTTCAGGTTCTGGACATCTATGACTGTGTTTTTGAACTTTGACATGATATGAAACGAAATGAGGATGAAATCCAATCAACTCAAGAGTGAAATCCAGACGACTCAAGAATCGAAACGGAAATGTCGCAAATTTCTGTCAGCTGTTTTGAACCGTTTGAACCTGTTTGTGTCAGCTAAAGCAACGTGGAACCTAATGACCAGAATGAAGCGCAGTACTAGAGTGGGCAGAAAACATGGTTCAAATATGTTCAAATTGAAATCGAGAATTCCTGGAGCGACTTGACTTCTTGACAGCGATTTGTGTTGGACGGAGATTGCAAGCAATTGAAAACGCTTAACATGGTGAAGTTTATGAAACTGCTAAGTTATCATACAATCCTGCTGCGACTGTTTTTTTTGAATAAAAGATACGTGACGGTATGTGTTTCTCAGTGTTCAGTTTACTGCTGCAGAACTGTTGTGATGGGTCCTGCCTTCCTGCAGGATAGATAGCACGGCTCCAGCAAGCACGGGCGACGTCCCAAAAAAGACTGTGAAGGATGGGAGGGTCGGATGTATGGGATTTCTGTAGAGATCCAAGAATCAAAGAACTGTAGTGATTGTTTGATTTCGTTCAATGTCTGGAACCAAAGGATGTGGACAGTAAGGACACGTATGGACAAAGTTGCAGAACATCCTTCAGCCAGGCAATCCAGGAAAACGAGGAGGTCGAGGCATGGGAGTTGGACTGTTGGACGTCACTTTTTGACTTACCCTGGGCCCTGGGTAACCCAGGTTACATCAGGTTACCCTGGGTTACCCTCGAAAATCCAAACGGGCCAGTCACATGTTTCTGACAGCATGCGCCACTGCGCGCTTGAAGTCCTTGACGAAACAGTTGATTCAGTGCTTGCCATCCAGACCTCAACATAGCACAGCACCTGCCAGACTGGCTGCTTTCCAGTTCGTGTCCAGGGTAGTTCTGTAACTTGATTAGCACTACCGAACGGCACCACCAGGAAAGTCGAAATGGCGCGGGGGGCCCCAGAGTGCGATAACATGCTGTCCGACTTCTGTCCGATTTTGTTGGATCTACGTGTTGAAATCTGGATTTGTATGGATTTGTCTGATTCATCTGTCTCTTGTTGGTCCATTGAGAGTTGAAATTCATCGATTTGCTGATAATTGTCGAAATAATTGTGGAAATACTTGTCAAAATATGTCGAAATTAGATGATCATCGGAATAGAATTGGTTTTCGGGTTTTCGAAGACTTCGTGCTCGAGGTGAAGCTGTGCGCTTCTCCAGTTTGATGTTGAGGTGGGGGATGTTCCATGAGTCATGAGCCTAGACTGCCTAAGTTGTTTGCAGTGCGGAAAGGATCTTCCCTTGGCCGTTGGAACTCAGACTGGAACTGCCAGAGGCTGATTTAGTTGGTAGAGTACCATGAAGCTCTGAGGGTTGGGCCGATCATGGCCGATCTATGAATCTGGAGATTTTGAAGTTGCACAAGCGACACAAGCGACACTAGCGAAACAAGTGACATATTGCAGGTGCGGATCTGCCTGAGCCTCAGTCATTCCAACGGCGATCAGCTTTGCCTTGGTGATTAGGTTCTTTCTGACTCCTGTGCCTGTATGGTACATTAGATAGATGCTAAATCAAATATAATCAAATCAATTATACTTCTCACTTGATGTCACTCGTAACCATTTCAGAAGTGGTTCCAACCCAGCGACATATTTTAAGATATGTTCAGTCTTTTTGTGGGCGATCCTGGTGTGGTTTATGATTCGGGGACTGATCTGACTCAAGGCATGTCCAGATTTCCATGCACCAGCTGGCTGCCACTGCGCTGGTGCCGGAAGGGTTTCTTGGGATTGGGTCATGCTGAGATGGAAATTGTCTCCCCCAAATCCATCCCCTCAAACATTGGTCTTGCGGATGCCTGGAAAATCAAACAGGTTGAGAAACACCGAGAAACACCACAAGGCATCACAAGGATTGTTTTGAACTGTGCTGCCTGGCCAATCTGAGGAAACTTTAAGCGGGGACTTTTCTCCCCAACAAACACAACCAATGAAATTCATCGGACACGCTATTCGTGTCTTTTACAACATATATCAGTGCAAGAGTTCAATTCCAATATCCAGTTTATTCTATTCTTGTCAAACTTATGACAAGCTTAGATCTCGATTTGGATTTCCAATCTGCAAAAGTCTGCACGGCATTGGCATCTCTGCTCAAGCATGGCAACCGCACCGCGCTTTCCTTAAAACCCCGAGGAAAGCGTCGGGAGAGGTAACCAGTTTTATTGCATCATGGTAGATTACTAGGAGTTTTGTTTTGAATTCGGAATGCTTCAAACATCTTCAAACATACTATTTTTAGCTTTATCTTGTAGTTTTATCTAACATTTTCTGTCCCAATTACTGTTACTGCGCTTCTCTGGAACCTCTTGGAGACCTCTTGTGCCTTGGGCCATGGAAACTTCGATCTACTGAACTCAGCTCATCTCAGCTCCGCGAACCGAACATATTTTCAGCCTGGGCCCTGGGGGCATATGGACGCAGCATGAGGTGTTCAAAACTGTTTAAAGTTTAAACAAGTTGGATTTTAGTATGAAGATCCCCACTGACGAGTCATTTCAGAGTATCAACTAGCTCTGGTTCCCCCGAAAAGAAAGTTGTGTATGCAATTCTTGTGTCCCATCTTCAGCTCTCCACTAAAATGTGACAATGCAATCGCAGCGTTTTGAATTCCCAGTTGGGGAAGATGGTACAAGATGAGAAATCACAGATCTCACTAGGACCTCTTTCCTTGACCTCAAAGTACCTGATACCATTTGGTAGCCTGGTAGCCAAATCCCGAGGCCTTTCAAAATCATGGAGCGTGTCAGTTCATTGTCCAGACGACCTATTGTGTTTGGACCTCAAACTGACGCTGCTACCCACGAATAATATGAAAGACCTCATTGCAGGATATTGGAGGCTGAAGATTACACAGACTTGAGGTTCCAGGATTCCATAAACATTGACCCATATCCATCCATATCCATCCATATCCATCCATATCCATCCATATCCATCCATATCCATCTAAGTCATGTTGATCTGAGCCTGATCTGAGCCATCTCACACCGATGTCAGTCCCAGATGTTAAACCAAGGCAGGCGGATTCGATGCCTCTCATCATGTATGGAAGAACTTCACTCAGTATCCTTGCCAGCCTTGGTCTCACGAATTTGCAGCTTCTCCAGGCCAGATGGATGCAGATGGATGCAGATGGATGCAGGATATCTTGATACTTCTCGCATCTCTTGTTGGGATGACTTGGGGCTTCCGAAAATTTGACCCCCATCGCACATTTATGGACTCAACCAGTTACTGTAGTTGGACTCTGCAATTCCAGACTTGTGGGGGTCCATCTCTGGCTAAGCCGTTTTCACTTTCCCAAAGTCGGATCCGGCTACGATGTCCCATCAGCCGGACTGTGTCACGCTTTGCCACGTGCCAGATTCTCTTGGCGGTTGTGTTTTTGCTGCATGCGGCGGATGGTGCTATGTTGCCGGGAATTTTCAAGGCCGGGTCGGCAGATGTCTGCAGTCAGCAAGGAATCCATGTGGTGCACTGACATAAACCGGCTAACGAGTTGGTGGTAAGATGTTGGAATTCACAGGGAATTGACTTCTTCAATCTTCTTTCATGGTTTTCCAGGCCAGACACTGTCACATGGGAACAGATATTTGCTCTCTTGTGATGGAGAAAGCTGAAGCTCCACCTGAAACCGAACCAGAAGACTTGACACCTTTGATCGAATCGAACCAACTTTGCACCAGGCACTGGAAGAAAATCTGGCCAATGCCACGCCCGCACCTGGTCAAGAAATGGCGATGCTCACTGGGAGTTGACTTCAAGCTTGGCTTTCATGCCACGCTGTCAATCAACTACGCAGCAAGACGCAGCACATGGCACAAACTGTTTGTTTTTTGAACTGCTGAATCTTGGTCGCTTGTGTTTGACTCAGGTAACTTTGGGTAGCATTGTTTTCGTCAAAGACTTAGCAAAACAGTGGAATCGGTGATTTCGCTTCTGCGCGGATTTTCAATCAGGATCCACTTGTAGCAGAGGCAGAGTCGCCCCAGTCGTCAATGATGACCCAGATGGACCATCCCCAACACCACGGTTATACAGTTATACTATAACATTGTGGTTGTGTAGAACACACACACATACCGTAGATGGACGAATTATTCAAACCCTTATACATAGAGCAACCCCCCTCACCCCAAATATCAATGTTATTTTCTTGTTTGGTTCGTTCCTTCGAATGGACGAAATAAATCAACCCCCCAGAGCAGGAACAGCGCTACGAAACCATAACATTGAAATTCGGGGGAGGTAGGGGGTGGCCTATAGCTCATGGATAGGGGTTTGAATAATTTGTCCATCTACTGTATGTCAATATATGTCAATCTGACACTACGTGACACAGCATTTATGTATTATCACGAAAGCCAGCCGCTAGGCTAGGCGAAGTTATTTTTGGGCTGACGCCCCTCGTCGGCTCCGCCGGACCACTCGGCCCTCCATTTCATCGCAGTGTGGGCGTGAAAGTTACTGAATGAGGACCTGCTTCAGAAATATATTCCTTAGGTTTTTTGGAACGTATTTGTTGGAATAGACGATTTTTTGGGGAGCAAGTGAGTTCCCGAAAGCTCCTGCGAAGGGTTTTTCCTAAAGAACTGCTGCCGATTTCAACTTGTTACTTCGTGTAAAGGCGCCTCTGTGCAAAGACTTCTCTGTGTAAAAGCTTTTGTGTGTAAGAGTTTCTGTGTGTAAAAACCACTTTGTGTAAAGATTTTTTGTGTAAAAGCTTCTCTGTGTGAAAGCACGTCTTTGTAAAGATTTCTCTGTGTGTAAAAGCTTCCGTGTATAAAAACTCTCTGTGTAAAGGCTACTTCTCTGTGTAAAAGTTTCTGTGTGTAAACGCGTCTGTGTGTTAAAACTCTCTGTGTAAAGACTTCTTTGTGTAACAGCTTTTGTGTGTAAAAGCTCCAAGACGTTTGTGTGAAAAAGCTCCTCAGAGGAAAGACTTCTCTGTGTAAAACCTTCTGTGTGTAAAAAGCTACTCTGTGTAAATGTGTAAAAGCCCCTGCGTGTGTAAAAGCTTGCTGTGTGTAAACGCTAAACGCTTTGGTGTGTAAACGCTCCTCTGTGTAAAGGCTTCTCTGTGTAAAAGCTTCTGTGTGCAAACGCGTCTGTGTGTAAAAAGCCCTCTGTGTAAAGACTTCTTCGTGTAAAAACTTCTGTGAGTTAAAGCTCCTAGACGTTTGTCTGCAAAAGCACCTTAGAGTAAAGACTTCTCTGTGTAAAACCTTCTGTATGTAAAAAGCTCCTTTGTGTAAAGACTTCTCTGTGTAAAAGCCCCTGTGTGTGTGGGTAAAAGCTTCTGTGCGTCTCCTCCCTCCAGCTTTCTTTCGGGTCACGCTGTCGTCCAGTTTCAATCTGCAACGTTGTTTCTTGTGGAAGAGTGCAAAATAATGCAAAGAACATGTGAAAGCATCGCACGTTTAAAAATTGAACATAAACAGCGCACAAAGTGCTGTAATTTACAGCATATTGCGCTGTCAGCTGGCAAGAACCCGCGTAAATACCACAGTTTTAGTCCCCCAAAGTGGCTAAAACACTGTTATTTACAGGGTTTCGTTCACGTCACGATCTTCGATTTTTTGGGAAACGCGTAAATACCAGCGTTTTTTGCGTTCATCAAGGCAAAACATCGGTTCAAAAAGTGCAAAAAATGCTGTAATTTACAGGGGTTTGGCGCCGTCACGGGCAAAAAACCGTGTAAATACCAACGTTTCGGCGTCCGAAAGTGGCTAAAACACCGCTATTTACAGTGTTTCGTGCCTTCCACGTTTTCTTGAAATTGCAAAAACAGTGTAAATACCAGCATTTTTTGCGATCAACTTGCCAAACATGCTGTAATTTACAGTGTTTTTTTGCTTGGCTTTCAAAAACACTGGTATTTGCGGTGTTTTGTGCATCTCCGGTCTAAAAAGTATTGGTATTTACAGCATTTTCTGCTTTTTTTCATTGCTCCCGCGAAAGACGTCAAAACGCAAAAATGCTGTAATTTACAGCATTTTGTGACTTTCGAAAAGCGAAAAATCGTCCGAAAAATGTGTCAAAACGGCGCTTTTTTCCGATTTTAGGTACCCTCAAAACGGGGGGGGGGAATGCTCTTGGAGACGCTTATGAGCGACCCGGATCCCGGCCAAAAAGCTCTCCCCCACCCTCCTGAAGGATTTTTTGTGTTTTTTGGGCCCCGGCGTCGGAGGGTCGGCGGTTTGGGGCGCGCCTCACCTTAGAGCTCTAGTCGCTCTGGGACGCTCGTGGGGCAAGCCACTCGTGGGGAGCCGGCGGAGCCGAATTTTTGCGAACAAAGTGAGTTAAGGGGGTCTGGGGGCAGAGCGCCCCGAGAGGGACAAAAATGAGGAAATTAGGTGGTAAAAAAGGTGGCCACAGGTAAACTTTTTTAGGGTTATGTACCAGGTGGCAATTGGGTGACGTTGGGGTATCGATTCCCCCCTGGTCCGCCCTCCGAGGTGGATCTGGGCAGATTGCAATGGAGGGGAAAATGATGAGAAAAACAATAGAAAAAATGAGGGAATATGACATAAAACAATGGGAAAAACATGGGAAAGCAATGGAAAATTTGAGTAGAACGCTTGGAAAATTGATTGAAACGCGAGGAGAAACGGTGGAAAGAATAGGGAGAGGGTAAAATGATGCCAATTGAGGCTCCGATGTGGGACCATTATCGCGTAAAGCATGCGTGAAACAATGGAAAAGCAATGGAACAATTGCAGTTTCGATGTGTGACCACTATGGAGTAGAAGCACAGAAAAAAAAACATGGAAGAAACGAGCAAAACCGTTTATACGGTGCAACTGTAGGGATTGTGGAAGGTGCATTTGGGTAAGCGTTAGACACACTGGAGAAATCGAGTAACACCATGGCAAAACACTGTGAAAAGTGATGAAATGGAAAGATAAATTGATAGCATAAAATATGGGAAAAACAATGAACAAATGAATGGGAAAGCAATGGAAAATTGGAGTCGAACGTTTGGAAAGTTGATTACAACGCGAGGAAAACCGGTGGAAACAATGAGGAGAGGGTAAAATGATGCCAGGTCACGTAAAGCACGCGTGAAACATTGGAAAAGCAATGGAAAAATGGCAGTTTTGATGTGTGACCACTATGGAGTAGACGCACGGAAAGAAAACCATGGAAGAAAGACGGTTGAGTAAAACTGGAGGAAAAACTGTGAAAAAAAACACTGGGGAGACTGGAATGAAGGGGAAAATGATGTCGAGTAAAACTATGGAAAAGCAATGAACAAAACAACTATGGCTTCGACGTGGATCGATGGGAAAACAATGGAAAAATTGAGGGACTACGCTGAAGAAGTGGAGTCAAACAATGGAAAAACAATGGAAAAACAATGAAAAAATGCAGTTTCGATGTGTGACCACTATGAGTAGACGCACGGAAATAAAACCTGGAAGAAAAAGCAACACCGTTTATACGGTGCAACGGTTGGGCTTGTGGGAGGTGCATTTGGGTACGCGTTAGACACACTGAGGTAATATAAGAGTAATGATTGAGACATCAAGTCACACCATGGCAAAACACTGGAAAAATTGATGCAATGGAAGGATACATTGATAGAGAACTCGCGTTAACATTGGTACAACGATTGAAAAATTGGGTGCAGGGTGCAGCGAGACAAAAGCCGCTGCGTTCCTGGCACCACCTCTCCTCGATCTATTCTGTTTCCCGCATCCTCCCTCTTCCTCTCCTTCTTCTTCGCACCCATTTTCACGAAAGCCAGCCGCTAGGCTAGGCGAAGTTATTTTTGCGAACAAAGTGAGTTAAGGGAGTCTGGGGGCAGAGCGAGCCGAGAGGGACAAAAATGAGGAAATTAGGTGGTAAAAGGTGGCCACAGGTAAACTTTTTTAGGGTTATGTACCAGGTGGCAATTGGGTGACGTTCGGGTATCGATTCCCCCCTGGTCCGCCCTCCGAGGTGGATCTGGGCAGATTGCAATGGAGGGGAAAATGATGAGAAAAACAATAGAAAAAATGAGGGAATATGACATAAAACCAACGGGAAAAAAATGGGAAAGGAGGGGAAAATGATGAGAAAAACAATGGAAAAAAGGAGGGACTTTGACATAAAACAATGGAAAAAATGGGAAAGCAATGGAAAATTTGAGTAGAACGCTTGGAAAATTGATTGAAACGCGAGGAGAAACGGTGGAAAGAATAGGGAGAGGGTAAAATGATGCCAAGTAAAATTGAGGCTCCGATGTGGGACCATTATCGCGTAAAGCATGCGTGAAACAATGGAAAAGCAATGGAACAATTGCAGTTTCGATGTGTGACCACTATGGAGTAGAAGCACAGAAAAAAAAACATGGAAGAAACGAGCAAAACCGTTTATACGGTGCAACTGTAGGGATTGTGGAAGGTGCATTTGGGTAAGCGTTAGACACACTGGAGAAATCGAGTAACACCATGGCAAAACACTGTGAAAAGTGATGAAATGGAAAGATAAATTGATAGCATAAAATATGGGAAAAACAATGAACAAACGAATGGGAAAGCAATGGAAAATTGGAGTCGAACGTTTGGAAAGCTGATTACAACGCGAGGAAAATCGGTGGAAACAATGAGGAGAGGGTAAAATGATGCCAGGTCACGTAAAGCACGCGTGAAACATTGGAAAAGCAATGGAAAAATGGCAGTTTTGATGTGTGACCACTATGGAGTAGACGCACGGAAAGAAAACCATGGAAGAAAGACGATTGAGTAAAACTGGAGGAAAAACTGTGAAAAAAAACACTGGGGAGACTGGAATGAAGGGGAAAATGATGTCGAGTAAAACTATGGAAAAGCAATGAAAAAAAAACTATGGCTTCGACGTGGATCGATGGGAAAACAATGGAAAAATTGAGGGACTATGCTGAAGAAGTGGAGTCAAACAATGGAAAAACAATGGAAAAAACAATAGAAAAACAAAAAAAATGCAGTTTCGATGTGTGACCACTATGAGTAGACGCACGGAAATAAAACCTGGAAGAAAAAACAACACCGTTTATACGGTGCAACGGTTGGGCTTGTGGGAGGTGCATTTGGGTACGCGTTAGACACACTGAGGTAATATAAGAGTAATGATTGAGACATCAAGTCACACCATAGCAAAACACTGGAAAAATTGATGCAATGGAAGGATACATTGATAGAGAACTCGCGTTAACATTGGTACAACGATTGAAAAATTGGGTGCAGGGTGCAGCGAGACAAAAGCCGGTGCGTTCCTGGCACCACCTCTCCTCGATCTATTCTGTTTCCCGCATCCTCCCTCTTCCTCTCCTTCTTCTTCGCACCCACCTTCGCACTCCCCTGGCTTTCGTTCCTCCCTTCTCAGGTATGTATTATGTATGTATTATGTATACATATGTACACAGTATACATATACAATTGATCCGTCCTGGTTTGGCGGATCAACCTGCCAGGTCGAAGCGCTCTGCCATAGCATTGCAGTTCTTGCATCCTGGTGGCACCGAGAAAGCATCGTGAACCATCACGGCCAACGTGAAAAAATGACTGAGAAAATCCTTTGGAGCACCAGAACTATACCCAGTAACTATTCCAAGAGGACACATTTTAGTGATTTTTGGGATGTTCTATTGTGTACCAGCGCTTTGACCCATAGATTTTTTCTTTGCCAGGTAAGTTTGGCAAGTCGGGGTTGACAGGGACTTCGATTGAGCTTTAATTTCACCGGAGACAATGGCCAAAAACGTCTGCACCTGGATTCTCCACCTCCAAGCCCTTGGTGGCCTTGGTGAATGTTCCTTGTGACCTTGCTGCTGTGACTTTCGAAAGGTTTGGGGTGTCTTGGCAGATCGCTACTGCAAACTCACCATGCTGATGTATGCGAACCTTGACAGCACTAGGTCTGCCGGGTCCAGGTCTCCCAGGGACAACCCTGTGTACTAATTTACTGCTGTTTACTGCATGTCCCAAGAACATTTGCAGTACAGCTACTGATTTTGAGATGTTCCAAAATTGTCTAGTCCAAAACTACCAATTTCTCCTATTCAGGACCACCGAGGCTAGTTCCTAACATCCCTAACTGAACATACCTAGTCTATTGAATTGTTTCTCTTTGGTCAAGTCTACCGTGATACCCTGGCATGACCACGATGGTACCAAGGACATTGGTCTGCAGCTCAGGGGTTGACCGCTGCACCTGGGGTTGACAGGTTGACATCTTTGAAAGGCTTCTTTTGCCCTCGACATTTGTAGAGTCTGGTGTCAACAAGCAACAAAAGACGAGTGAAATTCGTTTCAAATATTCTCTCAGTCTTTGAAATATGTGAAATTCTCATGTCTTTAAGGATGGTCTAGTGCGATCCTCACAGTGAGATCCTGCGAAAATTATCCGACTGAGTCGTGGGGCATGGTGACGTGCTTGACTTCCTTCGTCACCGGAGTGCGTGTGCTGTTTGTTGTGCGCGCAGTGGCAGGTGCAGCGAGGGGTTGGTACAGAAAGGAGGGAAACCTCAGAACGTTCACATCCATCGATCCTGTTCCAATCGAATTCACTTGGCATTTCGATGCATTTCGAATTTTGAAGATTTTGAACTTTCCTCTTTCAGCATCTTTCAGCATCTTTCAGCATCTTTCAGCATCTTTCAGCTGCGCAAGTTGTCCTTTCCTCATCTTTCCTCCCTTCCACCAAGCCATGGCTTGGGCAAGGCACTGTGGGTGCAGCACTGGGACCCTTGCCGGGATGCCAAGCGATACCAAGGGATACCACCTGCGCCGGTTGTCAGTGACGTTTACCGAGTTTACCGGTCTATTGGTCTACCCTCCAAAAGGAACCCCTTTTGCAACCTGAGACATCTGAGATTCCTGGGATTCGTGCATTTTGATGAAACTTGTATTATGATTTTCTGATTGTTTTTGATTGTTTTTTTGATGTTTTGCATGGCAATTCTCCCTTGTTTTGTTTGACTTCCCGGGGTTGGAAAAATATGAAAAATCACAAATGTTTGACAGGGATTTATTGAGAATCGACGATTTTGGAACCCAAGCTGCTCCCAGTGAGGTCGCAGGGGCTGATTGGCGCCACATGCCCAGCAACGGATCGAGGCACATTGCATCCAGATGTCCCCAAAACGGATATTACAGAGGTTAAAACGGTTAAAAATTAAAAGAGCCAATCAAAAACAATTTGTATGAAGAAAGATGCGGACCCTTCAATTTTCATTTTGGTGTAAACAATATACAGTACATTCATGCAAAGGCATTGGATGCAGACCAAGCCAGATCAAACATGAGTGGGGAAATGCATCCAATTCGTTACCCAATGCTTATTCCATTCGCCCCATCGCCAACATGGCAATGGTGCACAGGACGAGCCTTCGGATGGTTGATTGCATGTGGACAACTGGGCTTCATGTTGGGAGTCGTGGAGCCCAGGAAATTGAACATCACCAGGAATTCATTGGATCATTGCTTCAAATGACTGTGGATTTGGACCAGACGGCTGTGAAAGCTGTGTCAAACGTGTTTCAAACAGCCACATGTGGCTTGAGAGGAAGGCAAACGTGGATGTGGTTCGTGCTAAGTTGAGCTGAAGCAGAGATGCAGCATTGTGTCGGTGGGGTTTCATGGATTTTGCAGATGAACTTTTTGTCGAAGATATGGCCGGCCGAGGTCTTATTAGCTGGAGCAACATCTCACATGCAGGCAGCGTGCAGCTATCCTAGCTTCAAACAAAATGCGACAAACACAACCTGCAAGATCAATGGCCAGGATCCAACCTGTGATGAACATCTCAGATGATCTCAGATGTATTTGCCGCAGGATTTTCCTCGAATGAAGCGGCTTTCAGTTTCGCAAGGGCACAGGAAGTGAGCTGAAACAACATTATTAGCCATCCATAGCCATCCCGCATCTCTTGCTATCCCTTGCTATTCTTGAACCTGGGGCCTGCCTCACACCTGTCAGGTGATCAAGGGCTGGCGGGGCACCTTCTTATTGATGGGACTCATCACGCAACTTGGACGCCAGAATCAGATGAGTCGATGTCGACACTTTTTCCATCTTTTTCCTTGCTGCCCAAGACCTCTCAGTAGGGAAAAATCGACAGACTCAAGGGATGCCAATTGTGACATCGATTGCACCCACCAGCTCAGAGTTGGGATCAGACGCTTCAGACGCCTACCCTTTGTTTCAAGACAGACCTGGTTTTGGCTCAGCCCATGCCATGTAGTGCACTTATTTTCATCCCAGATTGGCTGTCATGGCATCTCGAAAGGATGATTCGACTGACAGGTTGGTGCTAAGTTGGATTCTTTACATGGCGAAGATGGAAGTAGCGTCAGGGCCTTTGGATGGATGACCTGAACAGAACGACACAACCAAAACATACCAAAACTAGTTAGCAATCTGAGTTCATATTTGGCAGGTAAGTTCCCAGAATCAGTAGTTCTGATAGTTCTGCTTTCCTGCATGTCAAGTCTAACACTGTCTGCTCAACAGTTGTGGTTCAGCGGGGGCCATTACCATCACCGCCCATGGGTCTCCGATGGTCTCCGCGGCCTCGGAGTCACACCAAGGCGTGGCTTGTTTAAAGAGTCGCGCACCTGGGCACAACTCTCTGCAGCCACCAAGAAGGCCATTGGGTGAACGATCAGCTGACGATCAGAGAAAAACAAAAAGAATCGAAGAACAAAAAAATAACCCCTTTCTTTATTTTCTTTTCGGCATTTCTGGATATTTCTGGATATTTACGTTGACTGTTGAAGAGACTTGTGTGAGAGACTGTGAGCCTTTGAGCTTTTGCGCGTGCCAGAAGTTGCAATTGAATGCAATTGAATGATTCCACACTAATCACATCGAATCTAATTACTTCATGTCGCTCCACATCTTTGGTCTGATTCTCTGGTCAGTGGTTTAGATCCAAAATGGAAGATTCAACATTTAACCCCGCGCAGGGCACCGCAGACGGCCTTCCTTTGAACGATATTTGCAAGGAGCCAAAGGGCAAACGGACTTGAACAGCCATTCCAGTCATAGCCACGTTGAATCGGAAATGAAGCACAAAGACATTTTGAGATCAATGGATTCTCTGGATTCTACATCACAAAACTTGGATAACCGCAAGTGACTGTCTGGTGCTGCGCTGTGTGACCAGGATTTGAATTTCATGCTGACACGGCCATCATTTTGGGTCTTGCAACTTGGACCACAACTGCCATAGTTCGGTGCAACATTTTCTGGCTTCGTTTCCCACCACAGCCCAGAACCTTCAAACTTGGTCTTATTTGACTGGAACATGTGAGAAAATTATAGAAATTTGAGATCCAGCTTTCGTATATTTTGGTATCCAAGGATTGTCCAGGGTGCCTTTGCCAGCACAACTGTCAGGGTGCAATCCTTAGACGGGAGAAAGTCTTGCAGACCCCGTCTGGTGCAGCTTTACAATCTGGTGAGGTCTAGATTTCTTGACCAGTTTCAACATGTTTCAACCAATTTTGACCTGAAAGCATCAGCTTTGCCAGTTGTGTTCCAAGTGTTGACAGTGTTGATTGAATTGAGAACATTTGAGAAGCCAAACTATCGTGCCGAACTTGTTCAAACTATCCAACATGCCAACATGGAGCCAACATGGAGCCATGGTGCAGGCGATGCAGTACCAGGTGATGTGGTGCGCCTTGAAGAGTTGTGCTCTTTCTGTCATGTCTGTCCTCCAGCTACACTTGCTTTTTGCTTGGTATGTTCACCTGGTTGTGATGGTTGCAAGATTTCTGGTGAGCTTCGCCACTGGGAAGAATATTTGACCCCACAATTAGGCTCAGTGGACTAAGAAGAAGATCATATGAGTATATATGATTATAATTGATTATATATATATGAGTGTACATGATTATACATGAGTCATATGAATGTAGGATTCAAGTAATGACATGATATGTGGGTACAGAAATGTCAGGTACCAATACCTTGGCTTCAGCGACCTCAGTGCTGCAAGCATCGCCTGTTCAGTACCGTGGCCCTACGAACCCGACTTCGTCAAGGGTAGGGCAAACCAAATGTAGCCACTGTGATGCAACGAATGCACCGAATGCACCGATAACTAAGGCACCCTTGGGCAGCATCTTTGGTGCTGTCTGTGGCGGCCATGTGGCAGATTTCATGGCACATCGCTTGCCAAGGCGCCAACTTGCAGTGGGGCACTGATGATGGCGACAAAAGACACAGGGGTACAACATGGTACAACCGGTATACAATGGTATACATCAGTTGCATGCCCCCTTTTCATATCTTTCCATATCTTTCCATAGTCTACAACTGGAACCACAACTTTGGTTCTATGCCGGGTAAGAAGCGATACCGCTTTCTATCTCGACAATTCCCTACAGGGCTTCAGAAGCTGGTGCGAATCGTTTTTTGAAATCCGAACAGTATACGATAGTAGACTCCGTAGACTTGTGACATCTTGTGACCCGTGAGTCATCCCAAATCTCTGTGAAATCGGTTTTGGAGTCTTGGAGCCTCTTGGAGTCACTTTTTGGATCGTTTTGGAACTAACTGCCGCCATGCCGCGCCTGCGCTGATGTCAGGCATGGACGAATCCTGTTTGGTCAAGCGGCTGACCTGACCAAGATTTGGGTGCTTCTTCTGACTTTCGTTCAGATCCCCAGTTTCTCCATGTTTCTCCATGTTTCTCCAGCTGTGTTTGTCAAAACATCGCACCTTTTTTCGACAAATCGGAATCCCGGAAAAGACGGCGCCGAAACTTTCCCCATTCCAGGTCCTGACAGAGGTCCCGAGGCATGGCGGCAACGGTCCAGCATGGTCCAGCCATCAGCTTGCTACGCTATGCTACGCTATGCTACGCTATGCTACGCTGGTGGAAACTCATCCCTGATGAATTTTGGTTTGACCCGGACGTATGTTTGCTGCTTCTAGCACTTGCTGGCCACGTTGAAGATGCTACCAAGCGACGAACGTTTCTGAGGTTTGACTCGACACTAGAATACAGTCTTAAACATTGTCAATCCTTTCGCGCCAAGTCCCAAGCTACCACATATATCCACATATCACATATTGCATGTCGCAGCATGTTGTTCATTTCATTCCTCTGGAGGCCAACTGACTACAAGATCTTCCTCGACAGGCGCCATGCGGTGAAGTAGGCGGCAAATCCATATGAATTAGGGTTTTGACGTTTTTTTTTTGATCTTTTGTTGTACTTGGATCATGATCGAAAATTTACCAGCTGAGCATGGCGTATTGTTTCGAGGTATCCCAAAGTTATTACGAAAGCCAGCTGGGAAGCTGGCTGGTTGCTATTTGCGAACGAAGTGAGAATAGGGGGTCTGGGGGGGGGGTAGTTGCCAAACGGGTCAAAAATCGCGAAAATAGGTGGTGATTTTAGTGCGGGTAAAGTATGGTTTTGCAGGGTAATGTACCAGGCGGCAAAACAGTGACGGTGGGTATCGATTCCCCCTAGGTCCGGTTTTCTGTGGTTTTCTGGGCTCAGTCAATGGACAGATAGATGGGCCAGCTAGTTAGAGGAGATTGGAGAGAGAAGGACATTGGGTGAAAAGTATGTGCAAGAAGGGTTTCTGGGTGAAGAGTCTCTGGGTGAAAAGTCTGTGCAAGAAGAGTTCCTGGGTGATGAGTCTCTGGGTGAAAAGTCTGTGCAAGAAGAGTTTCTGGGTGAAGAGTCTCTGGGTGAAAAGTATATGGGTGAAATGTCTGTGCAAGAAGAGTTTCTGGGTGAAGAGCCTCTGGGTGAAGAGTCTCTGGGTGAAAAGTATGTGCAAGAAGAGTTTCTGGGTGAAGAGTCTCTGGGTGAAAAATCTGTGCAAAAAGAGTTTCTGGGTGAAGAGTCTCTGGGTGAAAAGTATATGGGTGAAAAGTATGTGCAAGAAGAGTTTCTGGGTGAAGAGTCTCTGAGTAAAAAGCATATGGGTGAAAAGTATGTGCAAGAAGAGTTTCTGGGTGAAGAGTCTCTGGGTGAAAAGTACATGGTTGAAAAGTATGTGCAAGAAGAGTCTCTGTGTGAAAAGTATATGGGTGGAATGCCTGTGCAAGAAGCGTTTCTTGGTGAAGAGTTTCTGGGTAAAGAGTCGCTGGGTTAAAAGTATATGGGTGAAAAGTATGTGCAAGAAGAGTTTCTGGGTGAAGAGTCTCTGGGTGAAAAGTATATGGGTGAAAAGTATGTGCAAGAAGAGTTCCTGGGTGAAGAGTCTCTGGGTGAAAAGTATATGGGTGAAAAGTATGTGCAAGAAGAGTTTCTGGGTGAAGAGTCTCTGGGTGAAAAGTATCTGGGTGAAAAGTATGTGCAAGAAGAGTTTCTGGGTGAAGAGTCCCCGGGTGAAAAGTATATGGGTGAAAAGTATGTGCAAGAAGAGTTTCTGGGTGAAGAGTCTCTGGGTGAAAAGTATATGGGTGAAAAGTATGTGCAAGAAGAGTTTCTGGGTGAAGAGTCTCTGGGTGAAAAGAATATGGGTGAAAGGTATGTGCAAGAAGAGTCTTCTGGGTGAAAAGTATGTGCTCTGGAGTGAAAGTATATGGGTGAAAGGTATGTGCAAGAAGAGTTTCTGGGTGAAGAGTCTCTGGGTGAAAAGTCTGTGCAAGAAGAGTTTCTGGGTGAAGAATCTCTGGGTGAAAAGTATATGGGTGAAAAGTATGTGCAAGAAGAGTTTCTGGGTGAAGAGTCTCTGGGTGAAAAGTATATGGGTGAAAAGTATGTGCAAGAAGAGTTTCTGGGTGAAGAGTCTCTGGGTGAAAAGTATATGGGTGAAAAGTATGTGCAAGAAGAGTTTCTGGGTAAAGAGTCTCTGGGTGAAAAGAGTATATGGGTAAAAAGTACGTGCAAGATGAGGGGTGAAGAGTTTCTGGGTGAAAAGTATATGGGTGAAAAGTATGTGCAAGATGAGTTTCTGGGTGAAGAGTTTCTGGGTGAAAAGTATATGGGTTAAAAGTATGTGCAAGAAGAGTTTCTGGGGAAGAGTCTCTGGGTGAAAAGTATATCGGTGAAAAGGGTGTGCAAGAAGAGTTTCTGAATAAGAGTCTCTGGGTGAAAAGTATGTGCAAGAAGAGTTTCTGGGTGAAGAGTCTCTGGGTGAAAAGTATATGGGTGAAAAGTATGTGCAAGAAGAGTTTCTGGGTGAAGAGTCTCTGGGTGAAAAGTATATGAGTGAAAAGTATGTGCAAGAAGAGTTTCTGGGTGAAGAGTCTATGGGTGAAAATATGTGGGTGAAAGGTATTTATAAGAAGAGTTTCTGGGTGAAGAGTCTCTGAGTGAAAAGTATAGTGGTGAAAAGTATGTGCAAGAAGAGTTTCTGGGTGAAAAGTCTGTGCAGTAAGAGTTTCCGGGTGAAGAGTCTCTGGGTTAAAAGTATATGGGTGAAAAGTATGTGCAAGAAGAGTTTCTGGGTGAAGAGTCTCTGGGTGAAAAGTATATTGGTGAAAAGTATGTGCAAGAAGAGTTTCTGGGTGAAAAGTCTGTGCAGTAAGAGTTTCCGGGTGAAGAGTCTCTGGGTAAAAAGTATATGGGTGAAAAGTATGTGCAAGAAGAGTTTCTTGGTGAAGAGTCTATGGGTGAAAAGTATATGGGTGAAAAGTATATGGGTGAAAAGTCTGTGCAAGAAGAGTTTCTGGGTGAAGAGTCTCTGGATGAAAAGTATATGGGTGAAAAGTCTGTGCAAGAAGAGTTTCTGGTTGAAAAGTATGTGCAAGAAGAGTTTCTGGGTGTAGAGTCTATGGGTGAAAAGTATATGGGTGAAAAGTATGTGCAAGAAGAGTTTCTGGGTGAAGAGTCTCTGGGTGAAAAGTATATGGGTGAAAAATATGTGCAAGAAGAGTTTCTGGGTGAAGAGCCTCTGGGTGAAAAGTATATGGGTGAAAAGTATGTGCAAGAAGAGTTTCTGGGTGAAGAGTCTCTGTGTGAAAAGTATATGGGTGAAAAGTATGTACAAGAAGAGTTTCTGGGTGAAGAGTCTCTGGGTGAAAAGTATATCGGCGAAAAGTATGTGCAAGAAGGGTTTCTGGGTGAAGAGTCTCTGGGTGCAGAGTCTATGGGTGAAAAGTATGTGCAAGAAGAGTTTCTGGGTGAAGAGTCTATGGGCGAAAAGTATATGGGTGAAAAATATGTGCAAGAAGAGTTTCTGGGTGAAGAGTCTCTGTGTGAAAAGTATATGGGTGAGAAGTATGTGCAAGAAGAGTTTCTGGGTGAAGCGTCTCTGGGTGAAAAGTATATGGGTGAAAAGTATGTGCAAGAAGAGTTTCTGGGTGAAGAGTCTCTGGGTAAAAAGTATATGGGTGAAAAGTATGTGCAAGAAGAGTCTCTGGGTGAAAAGTATATTGGTGAAAAGTATGTGCAAGAAGGGTTTCTGGGTGAAGAGTCTCTGGGTGAGAAGTATATGGGTGAAAAATATGTGCAAGAAGAGTTTCTGGGTGAAAAGTATATGGGTGAAAAGCATGTGCGAGAAGAGTTTCTGGGTGAAAAGTCTGTGCAATAAGAGTTTCTGGGCGAAGAGTCTCTGGGTGAAAAGTATATGGGTGAAAAGTATGTGCAAGAAGGGTTTTTGGGTGAAGAGTCTCTGGGTGAAAAATATTGGGGAACATAGGGATAGATGGGATGCTGGCTTTCGTTCCCCCCTTCTCAGGTATAAAGTTATACCCAAGTTATCTCTGGCGCAGTGTTTTGCTAACATCTTCAGTGCACAGGTCACCCAGTCACCGACGGATCTCCAGGTCAGCCTTGAGCTTCACCTTTGGTTTCTTCTCCATCATGTCTTACGCCGGTGCAGCTCGGCCACACCATGGCTCCATTGGTGGCGAAATTCTGTGAATTGGGAGTCGGTAGTGAGGGATCAGTAATGCATGTGGATGCATTGATGACCTGGATGACACCGCCCTACGGGTGCAACTGCAATGGCAGCTTCACAGCAAGTATACGTGTATGGCTCGATGCAGCCGTAATATGGCTTTGAGACTGACCACACCGAGAAGTGGATGTTTGAGTTGCAAGCTTTTCACAGGCCACCATTGCACACAGCTTTTTCCACCTCTGGTATTTCACACCGCATCTAGGTCATCAAGCCGCTCTATGCCGAGATAGTCCCGCCTCACATGATTGCGCAGGCGTGAATCCATAACAGCATTGCGCCAGCATGGCACCAGTGACAGAGGATGTCACCCACCTGAATAAGACTGGGAAATTGGACTTGCAACAGCTATTGGACTTGCAATCTCAGTAAGCTCAGCTCCGGCTCCTGACGACTCGCCTGACTACGAAACTTCCACTGCAGGTCATCGCTCTGGGTGCCGCTGTGGATGGTGCTTTCGCCTCCATCGTTAAGCACTGAGAGCTCTGAGAGATGGGCAAAGTCGTGAAGAACATGGGAGCCACCTGACAATCACCTGACCCTGACCAGCTGACCCAGGCCAGTACACCTGTTGTTGGCTATATCACTCAGCGCGTCTTTCACTACCAGAGGTGGACATGCGAAATGACTCTGTTGTTGCTGTTGTTGTTGTTGTTGTTGCTGCTGCTGTTGTTGTTGTTGTTGTCGTCGTTGTCGTTGTCTCGTCGTTGTCGTTGTCGTTGTCGTTGTCGTCGTTGTTGTTGTTGTTGTTGATGATGTTGATGTTGATGTTGATGTTGTTGTTGTTGTTGTTGTTGTTGTTGTTGATGTTGTTGTTGTTGTTGTCGTTGTCGTTGTCGTTGTCGTTGTTGTTGTTGTCGTCGTTGTTGTTGTTGTTGTTTGTTGTTGTTGTTGTTGTTGTTGTTGTTGTTGTTGTTGTTGTTGTTGTTGTTGTTGTTGTTGATGTTGTTGTTGTTGATGATGTTGTCGTTGTTGTTGATGTTGATGTTGATGTTGTTGTTGTTGATGATGTTGATGTTGATGTTGTTGTTGTTGTTGTTGTTGTTGTGGTTGTCGGTGTCGTTGTCGTTGTCGTTGTCGTCGTTGTTGTTGTTGTTGTCGTTGTTGTTGTCGTCGCCGTTGATGATGATGACGACGATGATGATGACGAGGACGAGGACGACGATGACGATGACGATGACGATGATGATGGTGATGATGATGATGATGATGATGGTGTTGTCGATGATGATGATGATGACGACGACGACTCGAAGAAGACGATGACGATGACGATGACGATGACGATGACGATG